TATTAGAGTATCTCTAATTGTATTTAAATAATTAATTTAGATTATTTTTGTTGGATACATAATTCGTAAGTATTTAAAATTTTACATTTTTTAAAGAAGAAAAATGAATTTGTTGGATACATAATTCGTAAGTATTTAAAATTTTACATTTTTTAAAGAAGAAAAATGAATTCAACACATGGACGGCTAGAATTAAAATTTTCGATTAGTTTCAAGAAAAACAGAATACATAAATTAAAAAATAAAAATACAGATTGGAGAAAAATAAATTAACCAACACATCTTCATATGAAAATTTTTTTTCTTTATATTAATAATAAATTTATTTGTTAATTATATAGATACAATAAAATTTTTATGTCGTATCACTTTATATAATATTTAATATACATTATAACTGACTCAGCTCATTTTACACTTGCAAAATAAATAAAATTATTTTTAAAATATAACGAAAAAATAAAGTTAAAACACACTTCACCTTTTAAAATTGAAACTGTCTTCAATAAATAAAAATACATTTTGGGCCCCACTTTTAAAACTTCCTAACAGAAATACAGATTTTTTTTTTACATGTGGCGCTGAAGAGAAAAATTTCCATTTATAGTAATATATAATGAGACCCACAAAAAACTTTCTATTTTTAATAGATGTGTTACTTAATTATATAGTAGATAGATATATTGACATATACATCTAGAGTGGCTTCAAAACCAGTTGCTCAGAATGGGCTTAGGCATTAATATGTGGAGCTTCAGTTTCAAACAGTCTGTTAATACGTCTTGAAGACAAAAACAAATTTTCCTTCGTTTTTCTGTTAATGTATTACACATTAAGTCGACTGGGTCAGCATCCAAATAAACACGACGTACAAGTCCGATAAATGAGGAAACAACCAAGGTATCCAGCCGAGATCCTAATGAATATAGCACCACATGCGACATACATATATATATTTCATCTTCACTTTGATACAATGACTACACCAACTTCAAGGTACATAGTAACTGATACAAGAAAGTCCATCAACAAACCGACGGACCTTCGGATATTCTCCATGTTTCTTGGCTTTATCTACAACAATCCCCTTTCCTTTTACTATACACCTACCGATCATAAGGAAATTCCGAGTCGTTCTCACAAACTTTGAAGTGTTGAGGATGTTGACCAGAGCAGTACAAATTCCACATCTTGAAGTAAGCACGTTCCAAATTTCTCACCTAAAAAGAAAATTAAAAAAAAAATGACATGATTCAAGTTTTAATGTGATGCTCCATGCAACAAAGCGCAAAATACCATCATTTTTTTTTTTTTTTTGATTTTGTTTTT